AGTCACTTTATAAAACCAAATTATATAGTGGCTATACTCAATAGTTATAATATCTTTGAAGTGACTAAAAAATTTAGAAAACTTGCTGACGTCTCCATCAACTTCGCCTCTTTTCAATTGTGTATTCATTTCCATACAATACTAGATAGCGTTCCATGCAACCTATAAGTGTAGAAAATGCGTGGACACAGGAGGATTTCTTGAATACGGGCCTCTCATTGGCCGGATAAACGCTACCACTAACAGAGAACCAAGTAGCAAGTCCGTACAATCCTGAATTATTTCAGGTTTCTTTTCCCGCTGTGATATTCGTTGATGTCGACCCATGAATATCGATTTGTCAAAAGATATCTTCTTGATCTTAGAAAAGAAACTGGTACATGTTTTTAGGTGTACTTTCATCGAGGAATGGATGCACTTGGGAGGTTTGGAGAGCACCCAAACAAGTTGAGTTGTATAATTGTTGTATAATTCAATTGATACACGATCGTTTGGCATGAATCAATCTTCAGCTGCCCAGCAAAGACAACAATGAGCTGTTAGCAAGGAAGACAGCGTACGCTTGCCAGCGCTTGGTCTATTTTTTTCCTGAGTTTCTTTACAAGGAGTTCGAGAAGGAAAATATTTTTGCTCGATTGTTTTGATGGCTTAATTCAAGCCAGTTCGTCGTATCTTTTGAGTTCATTTTTTGCCATGAAAGGCCCTGTTGTACTGTTGTCCTATAGATCACAGGTACAATACGAGGTCTGCCTCTTTTCCTTCCTTTTAAGACTAAAAAACTCTTCAGAAACTCCCGGAAGTCCTTCATTTGAGCTAGGCAAATCGTAAAGTTTATCACGCTGCTACCAAATGCGAAACCGCCAGCAGCATAGCGTATTATATAATCTACAGCAAAAGCTCGTTGTGGTTTGGCTATCTGAGTGTATGCAATATTAGCTATAAAGAAAAGACACGGAATGGTGAAGGAAAAGGTTAAAGCAATGAGAAGCGATGTTCCTTTTATTCTTGTGGCTGTCAACCGAGTCTTGCAAGCGTTAATTGTACCGTTTCCAACTCTTGTTTTACTTCTTCTCCACACTGTTTTGATCAAACTTATGTTGATGAAATTCACAAATATACTCGGCAGGATGTACTGTAATGGAAATAAGAGCATCGTTGCTCGAAATGGGTAGAAATTTTCGTCATTTCTGCACACAATGGTAAAATGGGTTTCATTGAGACTGAGTCTCATTCCGTTATACGGGGCAACAGAAACTAACATAATGAGGACTCCAAATACCCACGCACCAATGATCATTTTACGGACTGTTTCGATGCTGAACGTGCGTGGAATTCGCCGGGTTGATAAGTACTTTTCTAGACTTATCACCATGAGGTTATTCAGCGTAATGGTAGGGAATACTAACTGGAAATATCGAGCAATCTTGCATGGCCACCCACTTTGGAAGACATCAAATAAAACTTGAGTGCATAATAGAGGTAGAGCCACGCCAGAAGTAAAAATGTCGGACAGAGCTAAGCTCCTCAGATACAATCTTATATTGTTCAGGAAACGGCTGGCTCGAAATGCGGCTTTATTAACCTTTAGACACAGAAAATAGAACAAAAAACAATTGCCGAAAAATCCCAATGCTCCAATAGCCAACAAAACTGAACAGAGCACAAGTTTAGCGGTGTCTCCAGCCGGCGTGAACACGTAGATATCGTCAATTGCCTCCGTGTTGTTGTTCAGATGCGAAAAATTACTTACAGTATCACTTGAAGCAACAATCCTCTCCAAAGTTTGCGTACTACCCATGAGAATTCTAATGGAGGAAAAAGCCAGCAAATTTTTGAGTGTTCGGATAAAAGATGTCGTCAGGCTCCTGCTTCCTGTAAATGTCTCAAGCCTTGCTGGAATGAACTCGCTGGAAAAGCAAATATGCTTGATACAACGACGGTTTTCCTATTAAGAGCCTGTCTTCGACTCTAACTTCAAGAACCAGTGCGGGGACCGCAGATGAAGTTTGGACTTTTCACTATCAACACAATTTTCCGAGAGTGCATGGAAAGTGATGAAGGTAAAACAATACACTAAGTCAGTGGAATCAGAGGCTTGTGAGTCCGCTAATCTTTTCCATCTGGGAAGAAGTAAAATATTTCGTCTTGTCATGCATTTTCAAGATATAAGAATTTATCAAGAACTCACTATTGATACACACATCCTTACGGCTCTGAAAACAAGGAAATGAATGAAAGGATACAGGTGCAGGAGTAGCTCACGGTTTTCACCTTCGTTCGTGCTCACCTTCAGTTACTTGTGGAAATCTGACACGTTTCGAGAGAGAGAAAGGCGTTCTTATGACAGCTGATCTTGGGAAAGGGTTAAATCAAACAGTTCAGTGACGCAAAGGCGCTTAATGATGGTTCCCTGACTAAATTAATAATTAATATGGTATCTTAATGATAATATTTACTTAACTTATCCTATAATGAGAAGTAAATGAAAATCGTTTTCAAGAACAAGACAAAAGAAACATTTTGTTATTATTCCGGGAATTCATTAAGCACTGGGTTAATTTTCGTTAAATGATAAAGTTCACCTGCTTTATTCAAAAACCGAAATGAAAATTGTAGAAACTGGCATTTGCTTTATAAAACAAAACAATATTAATGGCTCAATTCAAACTTACTTAACAACTAAATTTTACATGATACTTCCTGAAATTAGAAAATTAAGATTTTTTTCTAGGAACAATTTTCTAAAATTTGAAAATTTGAAAATGCAATGAGCTGAAAGGAAATTGCCTTCAACTGAGCTTTATTGCATTATTGTAGGGCTATGGTTACATAATTAAATTGTATAAGTTGGTTTAAATAAATATTAATTCAATTTTTTCCCGCTATAAGTGAGCGGGTAAAAGTTACTACCCATTAGTAAAAACTGTCATCCAAGCTCATAAATTGATAGGAAAAATTCAAGATACTTACTGTGGCTGTATCGCAAAAAGGATTACAATTTTTTTCGGTGAGACGCGAAGCAATATAAAACGAAAAGATATTTTCGTGTTAGTAATTGATTGCCGACAAAGTGACACGAAAGAAAATATTGAATAATCAAGTTTGAATACATGAAAAAACTAATAAAATAAAATGAAAGAAAAATAAAGAAGAAGTAACGTAAAGAAAATTACCATTCGCACAAAGTAGAAACAATTCAGTCACCACGCTATCAAGTTAGGCCTCTACGTAAACACGGTTTCATTTCCTGAAACGGTTTCAGCTTAACTTGTTGGCATGAAGTGGAGTGAAGTGGACAAAATGACCTCCAAAACCATATTTTTAAAGGTTCATTCATAGAAATTACATCAGATGTCAATTTTATTTGGAATGATTTATGACTTACCGTTTCCTACACTCCGTGGTTTTGGCAAGTCATAAATTCTTAGGACAAAAGTAAAATCAGTCTTTCATTATGTCGTCTAGCGCGCATCGGTAGTGGTTTAATAAGTCACTGACCCCAATCAAAGAAGAGGAGCGTGAAGGAAGGGCTCAGGTCTCCTTCTTGAGAAGAGGAAGTTTCCAGGTCTCTTTTTAAAAAGATAAGAAAGAGATCTGAAATGGAGTCAGGAATGGCAATCAAGGCAACGCTTATCATAATCTCGAATAGTTTAAAAATTTTGCGCTGGTTTGTAAAAAATTTAAACCAGAAAAAAAAATTGAACCACAACAGATACAAGGCTGGAGTGGGCATCAGCAGTGAATGACCATCAACGTCATTTACAAATCGCCAAATAATTTGAAGACAAGTTGACGTGGGAATCTGCTATGGCAATATTTGCAATGCTAATTATGGCTTGGGACAATTCACAGCAGAAATCGAGTACCATCAACGTCATCTAACAATTGCCAAAGAAGTAGGAGACGATGCTGAAAAAATAGTATGGTATGGTAATATAGGCAACGTTTATCAAAGTCTTAGATGGTTCCAAAACGGCAATCGAGCATCGTCAATATAATGTACAAATTGCCCAAAATGTGAGAGATAAGGCTAGTGAGGGAATCAGCCACGACAATCTCGGTAAAGCTTATCGTGGCCTGGGACAGTTCAAAAAAGGCATCCGAGCAACATCAACGTCATCTAGAAGTTGCTAAGGAAGTGGGGGATAAGGCAAGAGAAGGAGAGAGTTATGGAAATTTCGACAATGTATATCGGGGTATTGGACAATTCAAAACCGCAATTGAGTATTATGAACGTCAGCTAGAAATTGCCAAAGAAGTGGCAGACATGGCGGGAAAGGGAGAGGGTTAGAGCAATCTTAGCAAAGATTATCGCAGTTCAGGACAGTTCAAAACAGCAACTGAGTATCATCAACGTCAATTAGAAATTGCTTAAGAAGACGTGGGAAACAAGGCCAAAGAGGGAGAGAGTTATGGCAATCTCGGAAAAGCTTATCATGGCTGAGACAGTTCAAAACAGCAATCAAGTACCACCAACTTCATCTAGAAATTGCTAGACCGGAGAAAAAAGGATAATGGAAATATGTAAAGAGTTTCAAAGCTGACGTTTCGAGCGTTAGTCCTTCGTCAGAGCGAATGGAGGAATTGTGGGTTGTGTGTGGGTTTACATGCAGAAAATGGAGTTACGCTATTGGTAGTAATATGTTAACAAGATATCAGGGTTTAGGACAGTTCAATACAGCAATCGAGTACCATCGACGTCATCTAGAAATTGCTCAAGAAAAAGGGGACAATGAAAACATCGGCAATTTTTATCTGAGTCTAGGACAGTTCAAAAGAGCAATCGAATTCTACGTCAACTAAAAAGTGCCAAAGTGGGAAACAAGGCCGGAGAGTTATGGAAATCTCAGCAAAGATTACTGCAGTCTATTAAACCTTACTGCTTTCTCTCACAAAAGAGCAAAAGAACGAAATTGTGACCAGATCAGTGCTGAATAACGTTTTCATATTACATCACTTCCCTGTATCTGTATCACACAAGCAAAAAAAAATTGGCTATATTAGTGTACCATGTGACTTTAATTATCTTCAATGGAATTCATGCACTTTCCATTGGACAAAAGCATGCAGAATAGCCATCAAATTTTTAACCGCTGGTCAAGAGCGTGAGAGCGCTCGACAGACTCGTTGATATGAGATGGGCCCCTAAAACTCCTTCCATCATTGTTCTCAAGTCTGTGAGTTTCTCTTACGTATTTCATATCGTAAATAAGTAAGAATTCCTTAAACCAAGTGACTATATATTTATTCATAATTTAAAAACAGAATCAGTTTATAATCCTTTTAAATATAGAATCAATCATTTCTTAGAGTTGTACTCTTACACTTCAAAGTACAAGTCATGTAGAAAGACGGCAAATATTGTCAGTCTTTAGTCTCCTAAAAAGTTTCGTGATCACTTCTCAATTCGTTTACAACTTATAGACAAAAATAAAAGAGTAAGATTTTCGGGGGGAGGGGAGGGGAGGGGGGGGGGATGGAAAGTCGCCAAGTAGTTACTTTCGTCTTTGTAGGATCTGCTGAGTGATTGTGATCAATGCATCTCTCTGGGAAGAAGAAGACAGCTTGTTGATTTGTTTGACTGCCTCTTTAGCATACTGACTGGCCAATGTATAAGAGCGTGCAATACCGTCACTCTGAAATTTAAAAATCAGGGAGAAATTGATAATCAGTTTCTTTCTTAAGCCATTTCGACGGTCGAGTATGTATCGACGCGAAAATGCCATTACCGCGAACAAGTTATCACCGTGAACAAGAATAAAAACAATACAACCGAAATAACGAACGAAAAACTGACGAAGCTGTCAGTATTCACGTCCTACCCAACAACCGAATTTGATTCCCTTGCTCGGTCCATATCGCCAGGGTCTTCAAATGAGCTCAGGCTTAGGAGATGGGAACGAGTCAAAGTGAGCGGCGACAAAGCAGCAGGGATTTTCCCATCTTTCCCGTCACGGATCTCTTTCTTATACAAATGAGAGAACCTCTGGGTGACAAAGGAGAGAAGATTGGGGACAAGTTTGGGTGGGTCCAGAGGTGCTCCAATTCATAACAAATAAAACTGTGGTGTAGTAACCACAGTCATAACCTAGTTCATCTCATTCAACTCTCTGAATATCTCAAAGAATGAATTGGTTCCATTTTGCCCAAAGACTAGTCTGCCACTTTAAATTACATCTTAATTTGTCCATTATCTACCACGTCTGGCCGGGTACATCAGTGAAGGCGGAGCAAAAATTACAAAAGGCCGACAGGAGGGTGCAAGAAAGAATCGCAAGAGAAATTTATAAACTGGAGATACAAACAACCTCACAGGCATAATCTTTTGACAACGGACAGGAAAAGTAGACTCGATACTCAGCAACTGTCCAAGTAAGTAGCCCACGCCCATCCCTCGAGCGACTCCTGAGGTGGAAAGCAAGCCTAAAGAAACTTTTGAATTTCCTTATGAGATGAGAAGATGATAATTCAGAGCAACAAACCTTATAAACTGCTTCCCGAGCTTCTTCCACGTCATTAGGGCCTTTAAACCGACGCATGATGAGCGCATTCAAATCAGGGTACTGTAAATTAAACACACCAAGAGGAAACAAGTCCATTTATTAAATATCTGGCATTGAGAGTGAGTGAGTTTAACTGACTTCAGTGTTTTGGTTGGCAATCCATGGCTGTCGAGATGCTCGCACAGTCTGCAAATTATGGGTCCTTTTTTCTTTCATATTATTTAACTTTTCCAGACGTTTCTTTTTCACAGTAATAACGGCACAAAATACAGCAACAATGCTTCTTGAAGGCAGAGCAAATAAATTTGCAGTAGCGAAAAAAAATTATACTTCTGCAATGTTAGCGGCGAAGTGTTAAGTGCTTGGTTTTATTAGACAAGACTACGCACGCTTTCCTCTGTAGTGAATATGGCCCTAACTCGTTAACCGCATTCTTTACTTCCCATCTTGGCCGAACGAGCGTGTCCAATAGTAACCGCTAATAAATATGAAATCCTGTACTTTGTACCTACACCTATCTCTATTCCATCTCTTTCCTTTTTTTCTTTTTTAACTGACATGAACCTTTTTTAAGGTCTTCAGCAGATAGGTAGTGTTATTACCTGTTCGCACGCAAACAAGACAGGCGCAGTTGCAAGCCCCAGCCGAAGATCTGTAGCTGTTGGTTTTCCCATCTCTCCTTCACTGGCTATAAAATCCAGAATATCATCTACTACCTACAACACCGGACAGAGAACAACTTCATTCAACTCGTACGTGACAGTGGCGCGTTTCTCCTTCAGGGGCGGGGCGTAATGATAACCATGAAAACACTAGTGACTCAAAATGATAAATTGACTCACCTGAAAAGCCATTCCAATATTTCTGCCATACTGAAAGGCAATTTCTTGTACTTCTGGGCCACAATCTCCAAATACAGCCACCTGAAAATCAAATATTCATAGTTAAAATGATTGATTCACGTTTCAGTAGCTTCAGAAACCATACGCATGTTATCATTTTCCCGCTTTTAAAAAGGTTCGTGTAAAGGTCACTACTAACAGTGTCTTGAAAATCCTAAGGGTAAGTAAACCATTACAAATTGTCTTCAAATAGTTACATACTAAATTTGTTTCTTTGAAGGAAACAATTTTGAGAACATTAAAAACCCTGGCTGTACATGCAAGAGGATAAACAGCTTCCGCTTGGGCCATAACGCACACACGCATGAACGAACACAAATTATTTGATTCAAGGTTGTCTATTGGTGTCCCTCTTTACTGTTGAGATGGAAAAAGAGTGATACTTTGTTAAATCACATGTAAGCAGCCAGGTTCCTACGTAAGATTCAAAATGACGGCATCTGCTGATGATTTTCAAGCACTTTTAACAATTTAACAAAGATAATATTTCTCTCATAGACATGGTTTTAGGAGCATACTTATTCTGTAAGGGGAGGTCAACTTATACAATATTTCAAGGCTCCTCTGGAGTTGCAAAAAATTATCTTTAGTCATTACTACAATAGGACACACCAAATCAAGGGATTTTTGCTCAGGAAATCAACCATGAAACACAAAAACATTCATAGCTATAAAGTAAACCAGACAAATAAACTAAGATAGAAATGATACAAAGGGATTCTCAATACTTACTGCTTTGCAACAACATGCTATCAAACTTGCAGTTTTCTTGTATGTCTTTTCTAAGTAATGATTAAACCTCTCATCGGGATTTTCTTTTGATCCTAGCTGCATAAATTCACCTACAAGTAACACATGATAGAAAAATGACTCTTACACAACTAACATTGCACTTGAAGTCTAACATGTGACACTGTTTTTGGCCATATAAGCTACCCATTTGACTTCTCATTGAAATTAAATTGTTCTGAATTTATCCCAGCAGATGATGACGCACAGCTCCTAATCCCTTTTCTTAAAATCTTTTGAAAAAATTATCTTCAGATTTCCAATAAAAGTACATGCAGGGCTATCAGGGTCAAATGATAAAGCAATATATTCACCTTTTACAAGGTCATCTACAACTCTGGCTAATAATTCTACAACTTCACTATTTCCAAGCTTAGCCAAAGCTTGAGAAGCACATGCAAGAATGTAGTCTGCTGCTAAAACTGACATCCTCTCTCCAAACATTTTATTGACAGATGTTTTTCCTCGCCTGGTATCAGCTCCATCAATAACATCATCGTGAACCAGGCTGGCTGTGTGAATCATTTCTGACACCATTACAACTGTTGTTTGTGATGGAAGGATTTTCCTGCAAAAAGAATGAAAGACATGATGAATTTTGACCCAGAGATCATTCATGTGGTGGCACACAAAATGACTTCAGCCCAAGAGGTGATTCAGTTTAAACTAGTTGTTTGTTTTCTCTGTACCTTAGTCAGATGGCATTAACACTTGGGCTCCTAGTTTGAGCTGCACACCCACTCTTATTTATGAGTTGTGAATTAAAATAGGAACAAACCTGTTTTTGGAGGTGTGTGTGTTACACGCCTCTGCAGTCAAAAGCACGATCATTGGTCTGATGTATTTTCCTTGACCATCAAAGTAATACTGACTTACATCTCTCAGAGGTTTGATGGAGGAATTAAGTTCCTATATAAAATAGATGGAAAAAAGTAATAATGAACACATTTTCCTAACAAATCATTAAGTAAAGATTATATTTCAGACTAGTCAGAAGAATACAGCATCTCTATACAGGTGAATTGGTATCTTCTGACCATGTTTATTCTGGAAGTTTTTTGGATGCACCATGTAGATGCACATCAACAAGGTTGATGAAAAGTTTTAAAAGCTGCTGCTTTCTTGTTGAACCACATACATGTATATGTTGCTTTTTTCCTCTGTTTCCTAAAGAATCAAGGCTATGCAAAGTGTACATAATTATGTATAACACTCTGAAGTTTTAATTGAAAAAAAAAATATTCAGTTTCAAGAGTTGTAATGGTTTCAAAAATCTCTTAAAATAAACTTAATTTTACAAATGTAGATTGGCAACTGGATGTACTATGTCTTGTAATTTCAATTAATCCTTTACACCCTGGCATCAGAATTAATAATCTCTATACTCTTTTCTATACAGTTCCTTTGGTACTGATGTGGAGAAATTCTTTTAACAAGTAAAAGCTTTCTTGATCTTTCCTTTATTCTTGTGATCTGAATGATTCAGCAGTATAAAAGTGAAAAGTTACATGCTGATCATGCTTAGAATTTAAAGGTTAGCTCTTTAACCCCCAGAAGTGATAGACACAACTTCCCCCTAAAATATTCATAAACTATTCAGCAAACAGGAAATGAGAATAGTCAAACTTATCGGGTAGAAGTTGTTACCTTGATCTAACACTAAATTCTCATAACTAATAACTAAAGAAATGTTTAGCAGCCAAAGGGGAGAATTGAAAATCAGTTCTTGGGAATTAAGTATTTTGAGTATTTGTACATGAAGATGACAATTTTTGCCAGCTGCAGCTGCAGAAATTCGCTTTTTCTTGGCTAATAAAATGAATGCATCACTGGCACATGTGAGTTTTATATGTAAGGAGGGAGGGGGGGTGGGGCATCTTTAAGGGCCATGCTTCCTTTCCCCAATTTCTTGAGTGCAATTATATTACAGGTGTGTCAACTCACAAAAGAGTTAAAGTAAAATTATATTCAAAAGACATGAAAAACCAGTCACTGATTTCTCTTTGGAAACATTACCGGGTAGTTGACACTGTTTACCTTTTTTATTGTTTCGCAGAGTTGTGATAAATGTGTTTCTGTTAAAGAATGAGGGTCCATATGTGTTTTCTCAGTATACGAATATGTTGAAAATCTGCAAAATAAAGGATAGTAAAGACTTTGCAAAATTACCAAATTATATTAAGACTTAAGGTACATTACAAAAATTGTTCCAACACATTGAGGGCAATGACAATATTTATTTAATGAATACTTATTCGGCGCAAATGTCTATATGAATATATTCAGATGCGCAGATTAAAAGTGTGGTATGTCCTGTATGTTAACTGTCACTCCTTAGATCTGTGTGGTAATTTTCCTTACTGTCTACCATTGTTTAAATTCCTCACATGTAAAATGTGAGGTCTGAGATTTGTATTCAATCATAAAATACTGTCTAAGTTTTCTGTTCTCATCACCTGTCTACTGGGTAATGAATTGATACTGTAAAAAAAGTTGCATTTTTAGCACTTTTGGAATTCTCCTTATGATAATGTATCGATACATTTTCAAGCACAAGGTTGATGAGAAGAAAGACAAATGTAAGCACTGCTCAGGATATTGTTCGATCTATTAGCAAATTCTCCGAGCTAAACTTACAAGGAAAGATATAGCAAACTGTATGGAGAATTGATTTTTAGATCTTGGGGGTTAAACAGTTAAAAGATCAGTCCTGGGGATTTAAATGGGACATGATCACAATTTATTTTGCCAAAATTCTCTGCTTTGGAGAGTCAATTTACCTCAACCTCTGTTCACTAATTGACTTCAGTATGTTAACAGTATCAAGCTACATGCAATAGTTATACTCTTTTTTTGATCATTTAGACAAGAGTAATCCCAAAAATTAGTGGGCAATTTTTTCACAAAATGATAAGCAGTCTCTCAGAAGTCAAGTGAGGAGTCCCGTTTAGTTAAACACCAGCTATCAAGGGGATTTCCCTAGCCTGCTGATCCACTAAAACAGTTTTCTCCACCATTTGACCTCTAAGACAGTCTTGTATCCAATTTGTCTTTACAGAATTAGAAATGTTTGAAGGAAAGTGAGGAGAATATCTATGCTGAATTGAGGGTCAAAAAGGGTAAAAGCCCATTTCTTTAAACATAAATTCAGTACAAAACAGGATACATCAATCTGAGCATTAGGAGGGTTTCAGGAATAAACCCCAAAAGCTCAAGAGCTCGCTTATACCCCAAAACCTCATTGTAGGGTGTATATCGTGCATTGAGTTTTAGAATGTTGCAGTAGGTCATATAGAAAATTTCCAATTCGTCAAGTTCTACGGTGGGTTTCCTTCATAAGGGAACGAATTTAGGTCGCCTACAGTTGATCAAGTTACACTTCTTGAGTGGGTTATGATGTAATACCCTTTCAATGATTGCAAGGAATAGGGGGCCGGGAAGGTCACCTTTTCAGAACATCATCCTTAACCACTATCCAAGGCGAATACACCATTAGACTATCAAACTTCCAGTGGAAAAAAAATACTCACCTACAGCACTGTCTAGATAAACTCCAATTCCATCCTCCTAATGAATGGCGAACCCTCCCGGCAAATGCGCAAGAAAATCGTCTTTCACAAGGATCGAGTTGAAAAGCCGGTAAGCGGTTTTTTAACACAAAATTAACACTCGAAGAACGGATACTAGATGCATGACGTTTACAAACTGCTTCAAATTCTCTCAAACCAAGGCTGAAATTCCGGCAAGTGAAATTTTTGCGAGATGACAAAATTACATAAGGACATGTGTATATTGCTCCCGCCATCTTGAATCTTCGTTTCTAGAGCCAAGGCTTTTTCTGGCTCCTACGCAGAGTGGAAGGAAACCTGGGCCGGGTTGTTCAAAGCTGGGTTTGCTGGGTCAAGAAAACCCAGGGTTAGTGTAAACGCAGATTTCAGATCTGATAGCTTTAAAAAAAAATTCAGTAGAATTGTTTTTGTTAGAGTATGACTCTTTGATACTCTAAAAAGAACACACACCATTATCCCAAAATGGCTTTTGAATAAAGGAATGATTAAACCCAGATTAAAATTTTAACCTTGGGTTAGCGCTAATCAGCCTTCGAACAACCGGGCCCAGTGAACTATAACTTCTGACAGATAACCTCGCAATGCATGCTGGGGTATGTTGATAGCGTCCTCCTCCTAGCGTCGCTTCGATTTATTGTTTTGATTGTTTGTCTTGTGTTTTCCCAACGGTCAACTACTTTGCAGTTCTCAGGTGTGCGTAGCTAATTTAGGGTAAGTTTTTAATCCATTCCTGTCGCTCCGCTTTTAGAACAGTGATTATTCGCACCACAATTGTTTCGTCTACTCGCTTAGTGAAGTCTAAGAGTCTCGCGTGATATTTTCGCGCCATCAATTTGCGTTTCGTCCCTCTGGGTGATCTTCGCTACAAGAGTTGTTTTTAAGATTTTACATCGCAACTGCACCCTTCAGAAAAAAAGTCACTTTAATTCTGTGTTTATTCCAGTTCTGCATTGCTAAAATAGCCGTAATCATTTCAGGATTCCCCAGTAGAGTGTAGAAAAAGAACAAGTGACCAGAATGCCTGACGTAGATGCAGCCGCTAACTCTGCGAAAAAGCGTGGTCGTCCTCCAAAGGCACCCGCTCCAGCTGCTGACGAATCTGATGAGCCTGTCGTCAAAAGAGGCAGGGGTCGACCCAAGGGCTCGAAATCAGCAAAAAAGAAGGAGACAGTTTCTAAACCTTCGGGTCCAAAGCGACCTCGCGGACGTCCGAAGGGTTCGTTTAAGAAGAAGCCACCGACTGTAGAATCGAACGAGAAGAAAAGTCCAAAGAAAGGTAGCGAGTGAAGAAAGAACATGGAATCTCGGCGATCTCCTAGCGTTCCAGACACTGTATCACAAAGACACGAGAAAAGTTACTTTGTATATCTATATACATCATGTTACATATATGCTTTGTTTTTCTGCTACGTACATGCGTGTTGAACTTGTAACTCGAAACGTTTCTTATAAGCATGTTTGTTTCACTAGCGAATTGCTCTTGGACGAACCCTTCGACTTGAGCGAAAGTGGCACTCTAGTTCTACGTCATTATTTATTTATTTTCGTTTTCATGGCAAATCTGACTTATGCAGCTCTATAAAAAAATCGGAACTTCCGTTTGTATCTGATGAAAACAATGTCACATAGTACTCATTCCTTTCATTTCTGGATTTTAAGACTGCTTAACAGAGTGTTGGTGCATCAGAAATTTACTCTGATTCCTTGTATTATTGATATTTGTTAACAACTGCTCTGAGTATTGATCCTATTTTTGTATTGTAGAACTGAAGTTATATCAATTTCAACAAAAACTGTTGACGTACGTAGATACTGTGTTAATGTCAAATGTCAAAGGCTTGTATACATTTGTTGTCTTAGTAATAAAGTTTACTTCGAAGTCTTTCATTTTTGAGCTGTTTTCGTGTGTTTTGTAATGTTTTAATTTTTTTATTGTGTGTTTCTTTTGATGTTTGGACTTCATTATCTGAATTGGTCATTTCGAGGAGAAACGTGATTTAACAATTCGCATCGCTCCAACTGCCGCATGAAGACCATCAGATTGTTCTTGGAGTGCGTTTTGTTTTCCCGGAATGTTCTTTGGATTGGGAAAGTCATCATAAGGCAAATATCTATATTTTGGCAAAAAACGTAAGGCCCTGGAAAAATTTGCGGTACAATAATGTTCGTTAGATTTTGATTTTCTCTTCATGTTACAAATGGACACAAAATAAGTTAGTTTTAGTTTCCATGCTTTTAATTTGTGGAAGTTTGTTAAAATTGAGCAGAGGTTAGAATTAAATTTTTGGTTCTAATGGTGATAATACCCTTGTTTTGAATTAAATTTTGGTTAACATTTTTTTCTCATAAATATTTTCAGCCCCACTCAACTTTTGAGGAGCTTAGTAGAGATCAAACTATTTTAGATGCCTTGAACGAACTAAACCTTCCATTTATGTAAAATTTTAAGATTGGGCAATTAATCCCTGTTATCTCAAAGAGCCTCATTTCAAGGGGTGGACATTGCCTGCTCAAAGTTTGGCATCGGATCTTTTCTGTGAGGTAAACTGCATGTCTAACCCCTGGCAAGTGAGAGACGCAGATGCTTTTTAGAAAGTAGATTGCAGGCTTTCATGCATCTGTTCTGTACTGGATCACAGATGACATAAAATTGTGGTTAAAACAAGAAGGTGGCACCAAAGGTGTAGCTGATCATGTCACTGATAGTCTAACTACGATTGACGTCTGTGTTCTTATACTGAACAGACCAACAGCTATATGGATCTATTTCTTCAATATAATAAAGAAGAAAAATGTTGTGAACCTTTTAAATCCCAGATCAAATGTGTAACTCTCCTTACTGTCAACCATACAGTTCGTATAATGTTATTTCAGAGAATTTAGCATTGGATCAACATATTATCCCCAAATTAGTATTTTTCCTTATTCTCATCACTTATCTGGTTGATGTTGTATTGATATTGTAAGGAGAAATTCTGTCTTGGTCACTCAATGGGTTTTTAACAGTGTTGTCAGCTATGCATCTGTTCTCTAATAGATCGTAAGAATGAACAAATCAAAACGTATATGGCATTCGGCTTATTAGAAATGTTTATTAGCTATTGTGGCATATCATATACAAGACATATGCAACCCTGTTTGACCCAAGATTGACTAGCATCAGCAAATAGTATTACCTCATTGTAAGCAATCACAAAATGTGTTATGCAGGTGGCAGCCTTGACACTTCTTCTACTCTAACAAATTATCTCAGTAGAACTTTTGATCTGTATCAAAAATCGAAAAGGAAACTCGTTCAGAATGACAATTTTTTTTTTTTTCTTCAGACTTCACTTCTTCCCTTCCCAGACCTTCCTTTTTCCCGCCCACTCGACCCAGGCTGTGCTGTTTACTCATGGACGGGAAAATGGAACGGGATAAACAAAAAATCCCATTTGACATTGCAAAATCGCCAAGGATTCCCAGCACGTAGCGTTGGTCTTTGAACTTTCTTGACCCAAAAATAACTTAAGGTGACAAATAGTGTTATCTTTGGGCCTCCTAAGCCTTCGGATGGTCACAGATTGATCAAAGTCGACTAGAACCGAAACTTGAAACCTTATGCGCCACACGCTTGGCGCGCTTCAGAAAAGGATTCAGTGGTTAAACACTGATCTCAACTTATAGTTGTTCTTATTTGAACTGTGATCGAACGGATCATTTTTTCTGTGCTTCTAACGAATATTTTGCAAGCCAAAAAGCTTTCGAAACTTCAAGGCGGGAGATTGTTGTTTTACAAGAGATTATGTCGGCGAAATTTTTAGCAAGGGTCCCGATCTTATGGTTAAGTGGTTGAACGATGGAGGTAAACAGCGATGGAAGCGATGAAGAACAGATATTTTACGATACGGTTAGAGAATATGTGGTTAGTATTGATCGATTCTTTTCATTAATTTAGTTATGCATATAAATTACATAGACATACAAGCTCTGAATTTATAAGGACATGATACTTAATTGCGGTTGAAAGTCACTCCGATAAAACTGTTAGGGGCACAACTCATACCAAAAATACTGAGTCGTTATGTTGACTAACCCCACATATATTGTAAACCCGGTTTTAATACATTTGTAATTTTGTAAAGATCTCTTGTAATTTAGAAACATGATACTTAGTCAGCCACAGATATTGCCAATAAAATGTTTAACATGGGATCATTGAAATATTATTGCCTTAATGATCACCAAGTTTATTTTACTTTTGTTATAGATATCTTTGCTCGTGTTTATCATTTTGTATGGAATTTCTCATGCCATCCTAAGCACCTACAAAAGAAGAAGAGATGAACTTGATTCAGGTTAGAAAGATAATGTATATATTCCAATTAACACTTCTTGTCTCTCCTTGATATCCACACTGAAAGTCACTTTTCATCTCTACTAGCTCCAGGGATATATTGAGATTTCCTAATTATTGCAGTTTGGTTACCATTTTGAAACAGCTCAGTAACCTGACGACACAAAAAGGATTAATGTGAAGAGAACAGTGTGGGCAGAATTAGTTCAAATGTTGTGATGTATAAGATAAAAAAAAGTTGCTAATTGGTTATCTGCTTCTCTATTTTCATTTCACATGTGCACTAGTTTGAAATGTCCTGTAGGTCAAGTCTGTTATGTCATCAGAAAGTATCAGGTTGCTGAACAAGATTCAAAATTGTGGCAGGGTGGTCTCATTTTTTCACATTTTGAAAACTTAGGATGTAGTTTTGAAACTAAAAAAATGCAGTTTTTGTCATTATTTATACTTTTTAAGATTAAAAAGTTTTGTGGTTTTTTGGAGCATGTTTCTTTAACCTGTTAACTCCCAAGATCTGATTGTTAATTTGCCCCTCTAGCTGCCACACATTTTCTTTTTAATTTGTTACCAAAATTGGTGTTAGATCAAGGTAACAACTTCTAGCTGATAAATATGAGTATTCTCATTACCTGTTTGCTTGGATAGTGTGTGGGTATTAAAGGGAGAAGTTACAAGGTAATAATTTCTGGTAGTTTAAAGGTTACCTCTTCAATTGTTAAGAGTAACAAGGATGTATTGAGTCATAATATTTTAGCTCATTGTCACTTTGGTAGGTAATGAAAATTTAAAAAAAACATTTCTGTGTAAACTGGGGTACACAAGAATAAGCATCAAATTCTCAGAGGAGGTGACAAAGAAATGCATGGCTATCAGTTAGATTTCACATTTTGGTAGTTGATGGGCTGAACTGGAATGCTTTGTAGTGACTGTTGACAATACTTTTGTTGCAAACATCTTGGCGATTTGAAATCATCACAGTCTAATTATCTTTAATTGTGAGACACCCTCTGGGAATAATTTCTAAAGTCCTGAATTTTCTTATTATATTTAATTATTTATCAGAAGAACCTTTGGTTCAGGTGTGAATGAAATAGCAATTCTAGCCTTGTAAAATATTTCTTCTTTTTTTTTATGTAGACGATGAAGATGCATTTGTTTATCGGATATCGTAAGTACTTTAGGGTCCAGTTGTTCATATGGCAGATAATGCTATCCAATAGATAAATTGCTACCCAGCAGATAAGCGTCAACAAAACATACTGCACTATTCATTGGATAGAGATTTATTCAGTGGATGGTATTATCCACACTTCAAATGACCAGGGCTTGATTTTCTCCCTGCTGTTTAACTGCTCTTAAATTTGTTCCTATTCATGCTGATTATTAAATCTGACTTGTGCAACTGGTTGTGTTGTAGCTTTTGGTTATGTACGTTCACCCTCACAGTGTCCCTTGGTGCTGTCCTTCTGCTTCCAATGTCCATCTTCAGTAATGAAATTATGATCATGTATCCTAACAGTTACTACATCAAATGGCTCAATGGTTCTCTTATTCATGGTAAGGGAATATAGTTACTGCACAAGGTTACTGAACCATTTTAAATACCAAATCTGCAAGGAGATTTCATCTTAATTTGTATAAGTTAGATTTGATTTTGAATTCTCCCCTCAAGCTTTCAGACATTTTCATGTTTATTACACCCATTTTGAAATCACTGATGGTCCCTGTAATCTGATTGGCTCTAATTGGTGCGATTTATTCACAAATTGCACCATTTTTTTCTTTAAATCGCATCTTTTCCCCAGCCAGTGAGGAGGCTACACTAAAAACAAAACAACCAATTAGACTTCAAGGCTTGTTTAAAGTAACCGATCATATTGCAGGAAGATGAAAGACATAGAGTATCATATGGCAAATTTTGAAACTTTTGTTTCCAAAACTCTTATTTTTTCCTCCCAAAAAATGGATGAATTTAATTTTAAACCAGCTCAGTATTGTATTAATAAAATATTTGAATTGACCAAGTCCTGTATTTGGGCGATTTCAAAATGGATGTAATAAAGTGGTAATTGAACCTCGTGTTGTGCAATTTTGGCCTGAAATCGTACTTGTGATTTCAAATCGAACTCGCGCTGCGCGCTCGTTCAATTTTGGAATCACACGTATGATTTCAGCCCAAATTGCACTCCACTCAGTTCAATTACCATTATTAATTAGTTACAAGAATTTGGTGCTATATGTAGATCAAGATAAGAACCTCTACTTGATAGGTTTGAGTACTTTCATAACCTTTTCGCTGTATAATATTTATTTATTTGTTTATTAACTTCGCCATACAACAACAATCAAAATAAATTTGGTAATTTAGTGTTAACAACTGAGTTGAAACATTAATTGGCCACTGTCAGAATTGCTCTGATGAAGGGCTAATGCTTGAAACATCAGTTTTTTTACTCTTTATGGTGGCCAATTTATGTTTTCAACTCAGTTGTTAACACTAAATTACCAGCTATACTCTCCTACTGATGCAGCACCACAGTTTCTTTAGAAACTTACCCCCTTAATTCATTAATCAAAATAAATAGATTATAGAAAATGACAAAAAACGACAAAAAATGGCAGGGACATGGAATCAGTGTAGCTAATAACAGCAGGATATATGGATATTATAGGGAGAAGTAACTTGTTACTAACTTCTGGAAGTTAAAGGGTTAATGGAGTGTTCCTTAGTCACATTGTAGTAACTGAAGTAGAATGTTTGATTGCTGTAGGTCCTAAAACTTAGTGTTACTTATGTACTGTTCATACTGATTTCCTTGATAGTTATGTAAAACTCATCTCTTGTTTGACAGTTTACTAACTGTGTGTGAAACCTAGAACATATTTAAACTCAGTGTGGTTAACTAGCAACCTGACAGACAGCTTACCAAAAAGCAGTGCAACTTTCAAAATCTGCATGAGTTGTGTTGTTGCTAACCTCACTCAAAAACAGACCCATCAGTTTAATAAAAAAAAAACAGACTTGAGACAGACGAAAAAACAGTCTTCACTTCATAGTTGTTCAGAAAGTCTTCTGAAATGACTTTTTTGCTCAGCTGGTATAAGTAAAATAATTTACACATCACCATGGTTGTATTTGCTCATTGTAGTCTTCTTTTTGGCTCTAATTTATACAGGAATGTGGAACCAGATATTTTTAGGCTCATACATGTCACTCTTTGTGGCTATCCCTTTTGCCTACTTTTTCATGGAGTCAGAGGGATTTGCAGGATCCAGGAAGGTAAATTGTGTTTAAAACTGGTGTACAGTTACAGGGTATTCTAACTTTATTAAGATGCTAAATACAGTTGTAAGTGGGCTGAGTGCTAACAGTGGCAGCCTTGGTTTTGTTCTCGGAACAGGGGGGAAGGAGGGAGTGAAGGCCTCTTTTTGATCTGCTCATACTGGAAACAAGCAGGTGTTGATCTCCCACTACCCCAACCTGTTGTTCCACTTCTTGCACCTTTGAGTACTATTTCCCTTTCTTTATTATATAACACTGAATATTAATGATAACTATAAAAATGTAAGAAGCTGAGTGATACATGCATTTTCATTGGTTCTTAGTAATGATCTATCAGAGAAGAGATACAGGCATGACATAAGCATTGACAACATTTAGCTACTTTGTTATATAAAACAAGATCATTCCAAATTGACATGAGTCCTCCAGCAATAGATCACATTGTGGTAAGAATATAAAGAACACAATCAGCTTAGCTTGATGTGCCAGTTTTTTGCTCTTACCACATTTTTACATTATCCGTGATCTGTTACTGAACAAAGGCACAGCAACAAAAACTATTTGTAAAATAGGTGTTTGTACTTTAGCCTAAATTCTAAGTTCATCTCCTTGCCTTGTTCCAGCAAATAGACACCTGGTACTTTTTACTAGTTTGCCATTGTGCATATGAGCCCCCACCTTCCAAACCCTCTTTCTTTTCCAGCTTCCCCAATCCCTTTCATCTTTCTCTTGATGGAAGGAGTAAGGGAATTTGATAATAAAAGATAGATGTTTTCTACATGCAAGAGCTGATGTTTTGCAGGGTATTATGGCTCGAGTCTATGAGACATCAGTTGTTCTGATTCTACTTGCAATTCTGGTCACAAGCATTGTGTGGGTAGGACTAGCATTGATTGACAGAGGACGCACAACCGATGAAGGTAATTATAATGAGCCCAAGCCTGCAACCACACTTCACTATCTGCAAAATGCACCAGCTATTTTGAATACCTGTCACCACTAGAGTCCTTGTCCTTTGGAGGGGTCATTGACCTGAAGTGTATCACAGCTAGGTTACTCAAAATCTTTTGACAACCCAAATTAGGTTTCAATTTTATGAGGAAAATATAATATGTGACTAACATGAAACAGGCTGTTCATAATTTTATGTATTTGACAATGACACTTATAATAATGGGCAATTATGGGATGAGGTTGGGCATGATGTCATGAATTATCAATACTGAGGTCTGAGTGATTTGTTGAAGCTGAAGGCTGAGGCAATAATGCAGACTGAGAATTCAGTTTTTACTGTCTTTTTTTAAAACATTTTTAAACAATTTGCAAAAAGGATACTTACCTCTGAGTTTGCTAAAGTTTAAAGAACACTGCATTATTAAAGGGCTGGGAATCTAGGCAGACTTTGAACTAGACATGATTGTAAACCCAATATTGGCAGCAGATATTGGGTTATCCTGTCAACTTCACAAGCTATTGTATTTTGACTGTATGCTCTCTACCAATCAGAGTTTTCATAGTAAGGCTAATGTATTTAATAACTTGCATGTGTTGTGTAATACCAGAACTTAAAAGGGCTCGAACAATTCACCAGTGATGTTTCCTACTTTAAGTTTGAAGCATTGGAGTGAATGAATGTGACCTTTGAGAAAATGTTTTTTTTTCCTTAACTTAACCCTTTAACCCCTAAGAGTGACTAGCATCTAATTTCTTCTTACAATATCACCACTGAATCACACATCAATGTCATGAGAATAAAGGAAATGATCAACAACTAATGAAACTCTTGATTGTTAGACAAATTCTCCTTGTCAGCACCTTAGTAAATGTACAGAGAACAGTATGAGAATATGGATAATGATCTTGGGGTGTAAAGGGTTAAACTTTTTAATAACTGTAACAACAAATAAAAAATTGTTATTTGGTTTTCACAGAGGCCTGGGTTCCTGGTCTTCCATTCATATATTCATGCATATCACTTCTTGGAGCCCTGATGCTTCTGCGTAAGTACTGTAACTGTAAATGTACCAAATTGAATTAAAACATAACCTTGAGAAAGTTTAGTTGGACATGCAAGCTCATTATCCTACAGTTATTTAATCTGTGTTGTGATAATTAATCCAAAGTGCTTGTCAAAATAAATGTTGTACAAGTTTTTCAAGGAGCTCTGTCACTTTTCTTTGGCTAGTCTGCACACCTGTTGGATTTGCACGGATGTTCACTGTCCTGGGCCAATATGTGGTGAAACCTCAGGTAATCTTTTTACAACAATAGTAATCATTTTTCTGACAGCCTCGGAATGATATCAGTAGAGAGTTACAAAGAGGTGCATTTTGTAGGTGTATGTGTTGATGATCCTGTTTGATGATCTTGCATCAATAAAATGTAAAGAAATATTGGTCAGAAATGCATGTATCAAATGTTTCAAAATGAATAATCTCTGGCTGAAAAAAAATGCTGCAGCTGATTACAGAAATTATCTTACTCTTGGCATATCACATATGACACTGCCCCCCACATGTTAGGGAGTAGTGTTGTTAATGGGTGACGTATTGATTTCTTGATTAAAATTTACTGTAATTGCAACAACCATGAGATTTCTTTATGTCTCAGAAGAAGAAATAAACTCAACATTGAGAGGAAATACAGTTGCTTTGATTATCATCTGAAGAAAAACAGACTTAAGTAATTTTTTCTTCACAGATATTCTCTAAAGTAATCTCTGAGACATTGTTGATTGTTGGAATGAACTGTGCAGACTAATCTATTGATAAGGCACTTTGAGTGGTAATAGCTTTTCTTTGACCTTTTTTTTATTTCCTTGATCTTTAGTTTCTTCGAGACCTGGACAATGAAAGAAGTGCCATAGAGCTGGAGGAAGAGAGTGTGAAAAGGAAAATGAATGGTATGAAGTTTTCTCTTTGTATTTTTAAATACAGTTGAACCTGTTTTAAGCGGCACTGTATTAAACAGTCACCTTGTCTTAAGTGGTTGGTTTCCAAAGTCCCAAATTTTTTGTCCCTTAATTTCTGTAATTTTCACCTCTATTGAGAAGTCATAATCACCCTTGACTGAGTCTCAACAGCCTGTATATATCATTCTCCACCGTTATTTAGTGAGTTGTGATACAACTTCAAATTCTCTTTTGTTTAAAAGGAAATATGAGCCAATCTGAAAGGAGAATATAGAATTCTATCAGAAGTCACTTAGGGCTTCTTTCAATTCACTCTTTCATTTTGTACATGAGAAAGGTGTTAGGAATCATTTTTATGGGTGTGTGTACTGCACAGGACTAACTCCCTGTTCTCTTTTGTAGATCAAAATAAATATTTTATCAATTGTACTGTTGTTCTCTCATCAGTGATTATGGAATTTGAGGGTTCAATCTCACCCAGCTATCTGGCTTCAATTTTTGGGTGCCCATCACCTCATTCTATGGTTATAAAGTTACTGTCAACCACTTCTTTGTGCTTTGTAATTTTTCAGGTTATAGCAATGGAATGACCATGCACAATGGCATTGATCACAATCCAAATAAATTAAAACAACTGGAGGTTCAAAGACTGGAGCTTGGTCAGTAATTTCATTTCTCTCTTTTTCTTTTGAACACATGAGTTTGATCAGTAACAGATGAACTGACATTTTTGCTTTAAAAGTAGATTACAGTTGTTTTAATGTTCAATGAATAATGGTCTAAAGCTGAACTGTTGTAATTTTATCATCTGTTTTTTTGATCATCAATTCTAGAAAGAAGCATCAGAGCATCATCGTTACAAAGAAATTGTGTTTATCCAATCCTACTTCTTACTTTGCTGCTTTTAACAGTAAGTTTACATTGCCACTAGGATAGGATTAATTGGACCTGAATGTACTGTTAGTCGAATGATCACTTCCGCTCACGGACTTATAGGTAATAACATGATTTTGAGTGCAATTTGGTGTTAATGAGCACGAGTAAATTTTTCAAAGACAACAAAAATCTTTGAAAAATTTACAACTGCTTATTACACCAAATTGCACGAGAAATCATGTTGTTACTTTCTTTTTTAATGTACATGCAAAAACATCACAGAAAGTGAAGACCGACGTAAATTTTGGCAGCGTGCGCGCACTATTTGTAACTTGCACTCGTGTTTCAACTTTGCACTCGTTTTTTAGCTGATCAGACGCGTGTAATTTTTTCATGTACGTTATTATAAAGTCGATAGTCAGTGAGAATAATTTGTACTGTAGTCATCTGCAGGTGTTTGTAGTATTTTTCATATGAGTAGATCAAAGAAATATTTTTTTAACATCTGATTTAAAATTTGAAATAATTCTCACAAATGTAGGACAAAGATAGGGGTTTCAGTAACCTTTTCCATGCGGCTGCGCCCAAAGAGGGGCCGTAAGGCAAAACCCAAATACGCGAGCCTGGATGCAGGCCAAACAGACGATATTAAGAGGTCTTACAGGCTGGGGTACACCGCTGGTAACCAGCTTGTATTGAAAATCCTTGAAAGGAAAATAAAAATTACATCTGTTATAAGGTTTCAGACCTCATGCAGCCCTGATTGAGCAACAGGGATTAGGGTTATATGTGACGAGGGTCCTGCAAACGTTTGTGATCATTAATGAACGAAAGACACAATCTTTGCCAGTACAAAGAAAGTATTTAAGTTCCCTTGAGGAATCGAATTTTAGACCTTATGGCCTCAGTACCCAGACTTAAAGTTACATTAATTTTCTGTTTGTTTGTTTTTAATCAGACTAGCTGCATGGCCATGGTTGCCCTGAATGTTCTCAGCTTGCTGTTTGTTCATGGAGCCCTGCCCAAGAAATCCACGGTATAAGCATTTAGTTTTTACTTCAATAACGTTACTTTGAGATTTCGAAAACTTTTCTGCCATTGGAGTCAAATTTTGAATTTGGGAAGCAATTAAGATACATTCACAAATGTGAGAAATGTTGTTAGGTAAGAGAGGGGGGAGGGGGGCGTGCGCAGTACAATAACTCTGCCGGATGGGGAATATGACAATCAGTATGTTCACCATTCCGAGACATGGAGGCTACTCCATTTAAATGAAGGCCTAGAAATTATCTGTGGCTCAACCCCATTGGATGCAAGAATTAAGCACTGTCTCGCAGCGCTCGTACAATGAACGGTATGTCTAGTGTTTTGGCACTATGGCTGCCCTCGAATTATCTTTCAAGATCAACAAGAGAGGTGACAAGCTGATGTTATTTTCACCGGTTACCCGGTACCCCCCCCCCCCCCCCGTTACTCAAATCGTCCAGGGTTGCTATTCTCGGTGTTTTATGTCTATGAATGGTACCTCTTGTCTTGTTTCTTTTTTTCCCTGATAATTTGAATACTAAGGCTTGTAACTCCACTCCTTGCCTTGCCTTGCTGTATTTCTTGATAGAATCATTTTAATTTCATGAGCGACCAACTATTGTAACTGTACAGCGGTGTGTTTCATGTTTCTAGGTGCTTGTGTTGGGTAAGGTATCCTCATCCATGATGGGAACATTCGGCGCCCTTCTGGAGATCATTCTTATTTTGTATCCTTTCACTGTAGTGTTCAACTGATCGTTTTTATCTATTTGCTAGTTAGTTCATTCATACATTTGTATGTTTTTCCCCTTAAATTCGTTCGCTAACATAAGCAAAAACATTCAGTGTAAGTGCTGCCTGGGAATTTTAAAGGATTATTGGTGCTTCATGGACCAGTACTTTTATGAGTGAACACACAGATTAAATCCTTCCACTGATAGACCTGTCCATTCTCATTACGTGTTCGTAGGGTAGTGTATTGTTATGTTTGGGAGAAGCAAGATGTTCGAATCGCTTCTTGAAACACAAGGGTTTTTCTTCTATTATTTTTGTACTTTAATGAATGGAATTATTTGCTGTATGAGCGTTGGATTCGTCAGTCAGTCCAGACAGGGCACCTTAACTTTCCTCAGTTATTTAATGCTTGCGTCACTAGTAGGCCTGTACAGCGTTCCATACTTTTCACGCCTGCGTCCTGCAGTACGCGAGACTACCACGACCAAGGTAAGCGAACTAGATTGTTTAAAAATTTAAATAGGATATCTAAGCTTGATGCGTACCTTTAGATCGATGGTGCTGTGTTTTATTTGGGCTACACCATGTACTCCGGTTATTCCTCGGAGCTCTCGGTAAAATAGACTACAGAAACTTTACGTTCTATCAAGTGCAATGCAGTGGAGAAATAAACCCGAGGTGATGAGAACTAATAAGATTGTGTAACACTTTTGGCTACTGAGCCAAGCTCCGATCACGAATGAAAAGGTTGCAGCTTGCTCATTGATCGCCGAGCGTACGGACTTTCGCGGGAATTTGAGGCGCCAAATTTTCTCTACTCGCCATGGCCACCGAAATTTTCGCAAATTGAGCGTCCTTCAGGGCGAGTTTTCAACTTTACGCCAAGTCTCATCTTGAAATAGAGAGCCAGGGGCAGTTACTCAGTTTTTGATATCGTTTGTTGTTCTAATTTCAGGTGATTGCCAACTGTATAGTCTTATTGATCCTTAGTTCAGCTTTACCAGTTCTGTCCAGAACACTTGGTAAGTCAGTAATTAAGGTCTTTTTAAATAATTTCATGGCTGACCCCGAGTCGTTCATACTTAATAATAGCTCCATATTCCTTAAATTTGAGAAATTTACCTCGCAACACGTTTAATGTCAACATCACTCAATAAATTATAACTATTGGACAACATTTCAATACAAAACAACTATAATTTCTTAGTTATCCGTTAAATATCTTTTACTCTATAAACCTAAACCTGCTTGAGCATCTTGTATCTGTAAAAAGGCGAAGCTGAAGTCAGCTAACTAACTTCATGATCCTTTCGTAAAGATAGAGCAGTTTTTAGTCGAAAGTAATTCGGTATTGCTTTGTTTTGCTTTACTTCGTCATGTGATTGGTCCAGAAAATTCGCGCCACTTTCTCAACCAATCAGATTTCAAACTAAAAATCAATCGCGACTTGGTTAGTCGCGTTTTCCCGCGCTTCAGGCAGTTTGCTTTTTTTAAATTGATATTTCCTTCCTATGATTTACAACACTCAATCTAACCAGCTTTTGACTTGTTTCAACATTTCAGGTATAACCAAGTTTGACTTGATGGGCGAGTTTGGCCGGCTTGACTGGCTTGGTAATTTTCGTGTGGTCATCCTATATAACCTGGTGTTTGAAGTATCTACTGCTTTCTGTTTGGTTAACAAGTTTACAGCTTCGGTGAGACACGCTTTGTACGAACAGGTTCACGTTCCAACTGTACAGTTCTTCCGGCGATTTCAACCCAAAGTGAAAGCGTCGGCTTAAAGGGACGTGGTATTGTTCTTTCAAAGGCTCAAAGACTGAGTTCGGTGCCATAAGTAGTTGGAATCAAGAAGTTTATTTCCCGCATGTCATGTCGAGGTCTGAAGTTAAAGAGGAACGAAACTTTGCCGATCATCTGAACGCAGTGACGAATGACAACGAAATTATCCGAACATTGAATTGCATCGATATTATGCGTGCATTTACTGAAGTGAAGACTTAATAATGGAGCTACCACAGATGACACGCAACAAGACGAAACTGAGTTGATATGAAGGAATTTGACTTCATAACGTCGTCGGAACAGATATGAAAGAGCAATTCAATTGCCGATGCTGTTGTTTTTATAGATATACCGGTGATTTTGTGTTCGTGATCTGGAGTCTACACAGAGTTTAGAAGTACGTAGAACTCTTAAGACTGATACAGTTTTGTTCAAGATATAGAGAAAGCAGTAAATCTTTCATTATTCTTTCTCTTTAGTGAGTATAGGCACCACAGAGGATCACGTAGTCAACCATTTTGTTTCCTAGAAGATCCTTCTTGGTTGGATAAACAAGGCCGAAACAGGACTTGTAAATGACGAGGATATAAGCCTGTGATTTCAACAGGAAGATTAGGAAAAAAATTAAATTCCTGAACGTTTTTTTTTTCTACTAGATTGAAATAACTTAAATAATGGGTCAACTTTGATGTTAGTCGTTCGTTGATTTTATTTATTTCTTTCTCATCGTTGTTCCTGCTCAGAACGAATTTTTGCAGTCTGGGCGTGAGTCATGCTTACATTCTGACTTAACTATACACAAGCCTAGTTATAGAATAGAAATAGGAAATATGCAATTTAACGTATGTACAGTTGAATTTTGTTACCGTAAAGTTTCGTAATAACTTTATTCTGGTAATAAACAGAACAAAAAAAATTTAGATTTCTGTTTTAGAATTCCCGAATTAGAATATGCAATTTAGAACATATTAATTCTACTGAAGATAGTTGATGAGCTATCAGGGATTTGTTTTCATAAATGTACCACATAACTAATCGACTAAAGATGTATTTTCGTAGAGAGGTTAATTAGCTTCCCTTTTTGGCCTTAAAATCTTCGCCAACGGCTCTGCAGGGTGCGAAAAGTAATAGACAAAGGAGTTTGAAAATTATGGTAATTATAATTCACCAGGGCAGGAGGAGACTTATCACTCGCGTTTTCCCGTGGCTCAGGCAATTTGCTTAACGCTCCATCAGGTAGCGCTGGAGTATGTTTTCATAGAATGGCGATTAACTGTCGAGGTCTTGGGTGAAACTAGTTTTAATTTGTAAATCGCGTAGGCACTGTTTGTGTGTCGAAACTAAACGCGAATCAGGATTACATGTTTTGATTCTTTTTTAAATTTTTTAAACGTTTACTCTGGCAGTAGTTTGATGCTCTACCTATACCTGAAATAGCCAGATCTCAAAATCGCTTTCTACTCCAATTTTTCAATTTGGATGTATCAGCAAGATGCGGTTGCACAGTTTACGAAACTTGTTTTGAGCAGGTACTGGGATTGCAATATTTAGCAAGCTTGACAGAGTTATGCTTGCTTTCCTTAAGATGCCTTGTTTGGCGTACCTAATACTGGAGTTTTTTACATGCGTCAATGCTTCGCTGTTCTCTGAAATGCTGTTCCAACAACCTGATAGGAATTTGTGAGATAGGTACCAGTGGCGGTTACATTAAAGGAAATTATTGGGGCGGTGATACGAATACATGTTTAATTTTTTTTCTATAGCTGTATTCAACTTGATATTTTGTAAAATCAAAAGTAAGAAAAAAAAATTATCTTTATTTACGAAGGGCTAACGCTACGGTAACCAATGTACGTCATCAACTTATTTGATAATACTAAATTACCCTCTTCTACAAGAACGCGGACCCAGCGCTGAAAAGCAACAGACTTATTTCTATTACTACAAAAAGATTGGACTGTACACGGCTGTGCCTCGTACAAGAAAAAAAGAAGTTTACGTCCATCCTCAGTCCCTAAATTCGACATTCAGTGTGCTCACTTTTTCCGGAGCAGCCTGCTCCAAAATCCACTTTTTCTGGAGTAGCGTACTCGAATGACGTAAATCGAGAGCGAACAGAGGATAACAAGCAAGAATTTTGATTAAGTTTAAAATAAGAAAAAAGAGGGAAAAAATTTGCTATTTACATTGATATTTAACGGATAATTAAGAAATTATAGTTGTTTTGTATTTAAATGTTGTCCAATAGCTCAAATTTATTGAGTGATGTTGACATTAAACGTGTTGTGAGGTAAATTTCTCAAATTTAAGGAATATGGAGTTATTTGTAAGTATGAACGACTCTCAGCAACTTCCAAACATGAGCGGGAGAGCGCGCTAAGAATTCGTTTCGTAAGCGCATTGTCCGCATTTAAAACAAGTATCGCGCGAATTATTGATCAGCTCTGGATAAGATAGAATGAAATGTAGCAGTAGCAAAGACAGAAATTGGGTGTGACGTTCGAGAACAAGTAACAAATAGCCGCTTCTGCTCATCGAGGTCTGGAAAGAGGACAAGAGGCTTGAACTGCGTTGAAACCGCTCATAAAATTAATTCTGAAGACCACAAAAGCGTTTTGGGGAAAGACTGCTGGCATTTAATCGAAATTCAGCGCAGCTGTCCGGCGCATATGAGATACATAGTTGACTACCAAATAATCATATGATCGTAACAAGCGATCGGGATTGCTCGGAACTCTATTGTCTGTTCTCTGCTTGTACATTTGATGTACAGTTCAGTTCCACTGGATATTCGCAACGGCAGGCAGCCTGAGTAAAGGGGGTAAGTTTCTAAAGAAACTGTGGTGTTGCGTCGGTGGAGTGTATGGTAGGTAATTTAGTGTTAACGACTGAGTTGAAAACGTAAATTGGCCACCGTAAAGGGTAAAAAAGCTGACGTTTCGAGCGTTAGCCCTTCGTCAGAGTGAGTAAATTTCCATTTATAAGGACAAACTGCAACTAATTAAAGCCCATCGAGAACCCACATGGCAGCTCTAGTGCGACCTTAGTAATTTATGCCATTAGGTAAGTATATGTCCTTCAAACAAAAGCCATTCTGCGCCAGATATGCAGCGAAGCAGAAAGTCATGATCAACCTTGAACGACCCGGCCTGATGACAACGTGACGCATTGCGTGACTACTTCACTAAAAATGTTTCTTATATTCTGACTGACAGACATTGTACGGTAAGGTCATTTTACCGGATTGAATTTGACATTCATTTAAACTGTCTCCATATGTGTGTTTTCACTTAGAAAAACAGTTGAATGTTCCGCGGAACTTAATTGAGCATTTACCAGGCGATTGTTTAGAAGCTAATTGCAATTATTTACCGTAACATAACTGATACCTACCTGAATATATTAATGAGGAATTTTTCAGACTCGGAAAGTTTTGATTTTATCATAGACACCCCAGCTTTCCCAGATTGTGTCAGAAGCTGAATATGTACTCAATCACATCGACTTAGCTTTGCTCTTTGAGGCAGTCCTTGAATCCGCTCCTCAATTTATAATTCAGTTGTACGCCATCATTGTTCAGGAGGAGCCAGCTACAATCATTCAAATCATTCCTCTACCTATCTCTTTCAACACTCTGGCATGGGCCTTCACAGCCACTGATAAGACGTCTCTTGCCGAGCGCGAAATAACACCAAGTAGCGGTGCCCTGAAGGTTAAACATCAACTAGCATTGTATGTAACTTACTTACTTCTTCTGAGCAGTCGACTGTTCACCATCTGCTATTTCACTGTCAGCTACAAGTGGGAGATCATTGGCGTGTTGATGTTTCATTCTTGTGCCGTAGTAATAGCGACTGTTATTCAGAATAGAGACGAAGTTGGCTGTAATTCTAGCTACGTTCTCTCTACTATATTGTTTACGGGCATTCACTGTCTAAGAGATGACTTTGTCGAATTATCGATTGGTGTACAAGTAGGTGGTCTAACCATGAGTGTGTATTTCTCACATATTTTTTTTGTATTAGAAAACTTCTTTATGATCCTGATGTTTTATTTCACTTATAACCCCAATGCTTGGTACTCTTTACCTGTCACTGTGAGTGTTTGTGTGTTCAGTGTTCTTGGCTCCACAATGAGAGTTTGTGTATTTAGGTGGCTATGCAAGAAATTTGCCAGCGGTTCACCAGCTGCGAACAGCGGTGATGTGAATGCATGTGACGAACGGTGATGTGAATACATGTGTTGTGAATAGCAATTTGGTAATTTAGTAATTTAGATTTACTGATTTGACCTGTAGCCGCACTGTCTGAATTTTTGAGGTCCCATGTTATTTGGGTTTAAGCTGTCGAGATGAGTTACCGAATCGTGACTTTATTGTTTAGCTTCCATCAATGGACGTGCTTAGTTTGTCTCCTGACCTTGCCTTGGACTTTCACGAAAGTTTTTGTTTTGGTTTACGTAGTCAAATATTGCTTTCCTTTGATCAGAAGCATTAAGTACGTCATTGTTCATTTGTGAGATTTCGTCGTAAAAGCGGTTTTTAACAACAGAAACTGTTTAATCTTGCAAAGTTAGTTGGCCAGCATGCCCACTCAGGCGTGCTGATATCGAATATACAAGCATGCACTTTCGAGTTTACTTAGCGAATATTGGCATTGAGTAAGAAATAGTAGTCAGTAGAAAATAGAGGAAAGATAATCAAAGTGCGAGCATCAAAAAGACATAAATCAGAATTTGAGTCAGACGTGAGTAGTTTAAAGCTATGATTGATCACAACTATTTGTTAGATCTTTAGTTATCTTTAGCAGTTTCGTGTTTCATCTATTTTCATATATCGATAAAAGATGCTAAGCCGGCGGGCACAAAAAATGTGACAGATACTTTCAAATTTGTAACACAATCTGTAGAAGATATAAAATAAACACATAACAAGCAGCGAGTATTGGATGAAGTTAGAAAATTAGCGAAATAGAAAGCCACAATATTATAATTTAATATTTCAAAAGTACATTGAGTGCTTTTTCTGTAGAGAATCCGCACGATGGTAAAACATTCGAAAATTACACTCGATTTGAGTGGGGCGTTGAAGTGGGCGTGGTCACTATATTCATGTTAAGACTATTTGTACCCCATGAGTTTGATATGATGGTCACAACTATTTCATTAGATCTTTAGGTGTCTTTAGTAGTTTCGTGTTTTCACTTATTTTCATATATTGGTAAGATTTTTTGCGGGCACAAAAGATGTGACAGAAGAAGAAAGAAACTGTAGAAGAAATAAAATAAACACATAACAAGCAGCGAGTATTGGATGGATAGAATGGAATAGCACATAATTATCAAAATACTCGATTTAAGCTTCGAGCTAGTGGTTTAGAAGTTTTACATAAATAGTTTATGTTTATAAATGTACGATTTTTAGGGATGAATTGTTTTGAAAGAAAGATGTTGATTTGTGTTCCTCAACTTCGAGGTGGGTAACTTCCCTCAGTAGATAAAACTTATCTAAAGCTGTGTACAAGTTGATATTGTGCAAGATCAAAATTATGATAAAAGTTATCTAAATAGTCACTCAAAGGGCTTAGGGGTGCTTATGCTTTCCTATGGTGGCCTTTAGATTTACCCGACACTTCGTTCTACCAAAGATAAAATGTGTAGGATAATATTCGTAATTTGTCAGCTACAATTGTATGCTTAACCACCAACGACAAAATCATTCACTGCACTGAAAAATGAAACTACCTGATTTTTTTTTTCGATCAAAGTTGATTCAGCCTTCAACTCGATTACAACGATGACAAATTTGTTCGCATCAGAGACTTTCTCTTTACATCAAAAGTAACCGATTACGATGGGTTTTTATACAATTGCTTTGTAATTACGAACTATTCAATGCTGACTTATCTAGACGTTGTTTCTCCTAAAAACATTTATGAAGGTATTTTCTTACCGATCTTCTTGTGTGCTTCACTCGGAGAAACGACAATAACACGTAAAAGTCATTAGTTGACTCAAAATAAGGAAAATGTTTCACCTATTGTTAATCTTCTGAAAGAAAATTCTGTCGAACATTTTAATAAAATGAGAGTCTGGATAGGATATCATATGGGGACAGGTGGGAGTACAGAATGGTGAAAAAAGGAAGGAAGTGGAGGTGAAGGATATGAAGAATGTGTAACGAGAGGAGGTAAAGGAGGAGAAGTCTGGGAACGACGCTTTTTACTGCCACGTCTTGTATCTGTAATTGCGTGATAAATAATTCGTGCAGGAAACTGATGCGTGGAGGACTAATTTCACCTGGCTGTCAGTAGTAAATTTTCAAATGATGATCGATCATTTTCAGTTGTCAAGGATTAATTACCTCTTAGATTGCATGCTATATGCGTTTTTCCCTCAGTCTCTTTTACAAAAAGACGGACTAAGTACTGAAAAGCAACAGACTCATTCGCGTTACTACAAAAAGGTTGGACAGTACTCAGCTGTGCCTCATAAAAGAAAACTAAAGTTCATGTCTGTCCTCAGTCACTTGATTCGACATTCAGTGTTGTGCTCACTTTTTCTGGAGCAGCCTGCTCGAATGGCATAAATCGAGAGGGAAGAGAATAACAAGCAAGAATTTTGATGTAACAGAAAAAAACCGGAAAAATTTGTTTTTTACTAAAAAATTATGGTTGTTTTGTTCTTAAATGTTGTTCAATAGTTATAACTTATTGAGTGATGTTGACATTAAACGTATATA